GTGTTGATGAAGTTGGGGATGTTACATTTCATGAGCCTGTTCAGCTCCTCCTCTGGCCACCTGATGCATCTGATGGCGTCCTGGAGCCGAATATCACTGTCAAGGGCAATGGTTGAGATACCAGCTTTGGCCTTGTCCAAGTGGTCCACTTCATTCACGTAGCAGTGAAAGAGGGACCTAAGATTCGTCATTGCCCTGCTCATTAGTTTTAATCTTACAAAGACTGTGAGTTATGCAGTTGGGGTGTATTTCTTTTTGCACTGGTTGCTGGGAAGTCAGATTTAAACTTGTGGCTCACATTCAGCTACTTAGACAAGACTTAAGGAATATAATTTGTTGATTAATTCTGACTTCCATCATTATTTTACTTTCAAATTTCCTTCTCCAAATTTCCAGATTTCTTTTTTGCTTTGTTCAGTATGGGTCTTTGTAAGTTACCAGATACATACATGTACATACACATGTATGTGTGAGTGTATGTACACATACACTCAGCAGTAAAGAGAAGAAAGAAGAAAGGGACGAAAAGGAGGTCTTGTCTTCAGTCATAGAACCTCCATCTTTTCTCTCTCATTGACGTCTTCTCCTGCTTTTAGTCCCTAAACTCCATAAATACAAGGCCCACTTCCTGCCTAGAGTCAGCACTCAATAAAGAAAAGAGGGAAGGAGGGAGGGAATAGGCTTGCTAGAGGCTTTTGTTCAGATTTTTTTATACCTCTGGTTTGGAATGCCTCTTCCTTTTGAAAATATTAATTACTGTTTGGTATATGCTATTTTGGAATTCAAAGGAGTGCTTTGCAGTTTAGAAAATTTTTCAAACATTTTCAGAATTGTTTAAATGCAGGTGCAGGATAATATGGTGCTTTAATGAGTTAGTCTCAAATTGCTGCAAAATGTACTCAGGTGACAGGTTATTCACTGATGATGCCAGAGTAAGTACTTGCACTGCATGAACAAGGCTGAGGTTTATCTGTGTGTTGTGTCAAGTAACACGAGCAGCTACTGAAACCTCCTATCTTACTCCACCAAGACTTCAATACTCAATGGAAGTGCATTGATTTTAGCTTTGTTGTCTAATTCTGAGTCCAGATCCAGGGAAAACAGTCATTGAGTGGAGCCGAGAAGTGGCTGGGAATTCCGGCCCTGGTGAGGAACCTCTGGTGGTGGTGGATGTCACTGATGGATGCCTCCAAAACACACCTCCCCTGGGAAGCACTGTGGAAGTGCTTTGCCTTGATCCAGCCCCACAAACAGAACATTTAGGAGTTTATTGGATTTTAGTCTGCCAGCTACTATGGCAGAAACTGCCAGAAGCACCCAAGGAAGAGAGGTCCAGCCGTCTGACCCTCAGTGTTGAGATCCCTGGTGTCTTCTGGCTCATGGGAAGTGCTGCTCTGCCCCTCTCCTCCCACAAACACCCACAGACTCACAGCTGCTCTCCCTGGGTGGGGGAAGGCAAGCATCTCAGGGGAAAAAGGGAAAGCAGGAGCCCATATTTTCTGTTGTTTGTAAGAAAATGGGCATACCCGGTTGTGACAATGCCTGGACCTCTAACACTGTTTCCTCTCCCAATCCTCCTCCAGGTCTCTGCACCACAGATTCTCAGCCTTGGCTGCGTATTGGCATGACCTGGGGCGATTAAAACATGCTGATGCCTGACCTCTCCCTAGAGATTTCTGACTTAATAAGTCTGGGGTGCAGCATGCACATTGGGGTTTTTAAAAATTCCCCACGTGATTCTGCTGTGAGTCTGAGAATTACTGTTGTAGATAATGCAGAACACTGTCCAATAGCAACATAGTACAGACCGTAAATGCAATTTTAAATTTTCTAGCAGTTGCTTTTAAAAGTAAAAAGAAACAGGTAATACTAATTTTAATAGAGTTCATTTAACTTAATATATCCAAAATGTTATTTCAACATGTAGTCAACATAAAAATTAATGAGATACTTTGCAGTTTTGTAGTAAGTTTTCAAAATCTAGCACAAATTTTATACTCAGCACATCTCAATTTGGACAAGCCACATTTCAAGTGTTCAGTAGCCATGTGTGTCTAGTGGCATCCAAATTGGACAGCACAGCTGGAGAACATTTGGCTGGGGGAGGCTGTGGAAGAATGAGGGTGGTACCTGCAGTGGGCTGAATAATGGTGCCTCGAAAGATAGCCTCGTGCTGTGGAACCTGTGGCTGTTACCTTAGATGGCAGTAAAGGACTTGCAGGCTCTTGAGCTAGGGCCGTCACCCTAGCTTATCCCAGAGGGCCCCACATGCCTCACATGCATGCTTATAGGAAGGAGGCAGAGGGAGATTTCACAGACAGAAGAGGAGAGGGCAGTGTAACCACAGTGGCCGGGATAGGGATGAAGAGGCCACCAGTAAATCAGTGCTGGCAGCCACTAGAAACCGGGAGAGTCAAGGAACAGATTTCTCCCTAGAGCCTCTAGAGGAAACACAGCCTTCCCAGCACTTTGATTTCAGCCCTGCAAGACTCATTTCAGATTCCTGGACTCCTGTGAGAAAATAAATTTCTGTTTTTTTAAGCCATTAAGTTTGTGGCCACAATAGGAAACTAATACAGCACCATTTAAAACAAAGCACTTCCTTTTTTCTCTATATTGTTGTAGTTATCACTGTCTGTCTTCTTTTGTGGCTAGCTGGATACTAACTGATTTTTTTTCTTTTTGAGGCAGGGACATGTCTCTTCATTGATGAACCCTCCACCACACCTGGCAAGTCAAGTATTCATTGTAGGAGCATCAGCAAAGGTTGTTCAGATGCATCTGAAGCTCCATCTCCAGGGTGCCCACATTGTGGTATGCCCTCAGGAAAAGCAAGAAAGGAAGGCCACCTCCAGAAGAGATCTTTATCTGGGGTTATCTGGGGAAGTGACAGATCACAAACATCTGGACATCCATTGTTAACACCTGCCTCCCTGGTCCTTTAAAGTGTCTTTGAGAGCAATAACACCAGGAGCAGAGAAAAGGA